AATTATGTTTTTACTTATTTATTTTACACGACATACATATGAACTTTTAATAGTATAGTGCGATTTTGTGTGTATATAGACAAAGAGAAATTTAGAGCAAAATGCCTAAACATCAACATAATATATTCTGTGCCTCACGTGTAGTCATTATTTTCCAGTCATCAAAAAAAAGTTAAATAAAAATAATTTAAAAGTTATCGGTCAGTCCCATTTTATTAATTAAAAGATTTTATATATATTCTCTAAAAAATTGTATACTTATAATTAAATTAAAAAATATTTATTTATATTTAACAATTCACCTCATTTGAAAAATAAATTTCATCGCTTGATCCATTACTCTACAAAATAATTATTTTAATTGTTAAAATGTCTTTTAAAATTGATAGATATTTTAAAGTCTAAATAATCTTATATAAAATGTATATTATTCTACAAAATTGTATACTTAGACCATATTTATGTTTTTACTGATCTATTGTTCATAGTATGTAGAGTATATCAAGTATATTTATAGTAAGGTCGCTAAAAATTTTAAATTAGGAAAAAAAAACGTTTTGAGAAATTTTTAACAAGTAATTAACTGTTCTGAATACATTATAGTTTATAAGCAGATCATCATAATTTATTATATCTATAAAAGAAAATCCCAAGTCAATAAATGACAATAAAAAATGTTTAAAATAATAATTATATTTGAAAATACTTTTGCTGAATCATAGTTGTTAGATTCTTCGTCGGAGCAGGGAAAAGTAGTTGAAAATGTAGGTATAGTAATTATACACGTAAAACAAAAGATTATTCTCAAAAATAAATAGAAGTTCATTTTTAATATGATTTTTACTGAAACAATAATGATAGTCTAGTACTGACAATATAATTTCAACAATATCGGATTAACGTGATAAATAATTTTAATAATAGAATAAATTTCATTTTTATATAATAAATCATTTTCAACTACACAAATATGTATACCGAGACAGAGTTATAATTGAGTTTTTACTTGTTTATTTTACACGACATACATATGAACTTTTATAAACTATGAAAGTTAAAAAATTTCAATATACAAAAATTTGCTATTAATTTTAAAATTAAATTTATGTTTAATTAAAAATGGTTGTATAGTTTGCTAAACATTAATTATTCTTTCTCTAAGATAGACCATAAAAATACATAGAAAAATATTATAAATTATTAATATATTTGATATTAACTAAAACTGTGTGTTGGGGACATTGGTTGTGTGTAATGTAGTGCGATTTTGTGTATAATAGTATAAATATTTATGAATTTTTATAAATTGTGAAATTATTATAAAATAATTATTATTTTTAATCTTTCTCAATCTCCTGTATCTCACTCTTATTATCTATATCAACATGGGTTATTTTAATTGATCTTGAAATTAAAACAAAATTAATTATTTATAATATTAAAAAAATACTTTATTAAAAAAATCCATTAATAACCTATAATAACTATTAAACTACTTATTTTAGAAAAACTTATTTTTATGTATAGACAAGGAATAGTATGGAAAATTGCCTAAACATAAAAATAATTTATTCTGTGCCTCATCTACAGTCTTTATTTCCCAGTCATCAAAAAAAATATTTAAAAGTTATCGGTCAGTCTCATTTTATTAATTAAAAGATATTATACACTGTGAGTATAATATATATAAATTTCTCTAAAAAATTGTATACTTATAATTAAATTAAAAAAATATTTATTTATATTTAACAATTCACCTCATTTGAAAAATAAATTTCATCGCTTGATCCATTACTCTACAAAATAATTATTTTAATTGTTAAAATGTCTTTTAAAATTGATAGATATTTTAAAGTCTAAATAATTTTATATAAAATGTATATTATTCTACATAATTGTATACTTAGACCATATTTATGTTTTTACTGATCTATTGTTCATAGTATGTATAGTATATCAAGTATATTTATAGTAAGGTCGCTAAAAATTTTAAATTAGGAAAAAAAAAACGTTTTGAGAATATTTAACAAGTAATTAACTGTTCTGAATAAATTATAGTTTATAAGCAGATCATCATAATTTATTATATCTATAAAAGAAAATCCCAAGTCAATAAATGACAATAAAAAATGTTTAAAATAATAATTATATTTGAAAATACTTTTGCTGAATCATAGTTGTTAGATTCTTCGTCGGAGCAGGGAAATGCAGTTGAAAATGTAGGTATAGTAATTATACACGTAAAACAGAAGAATATTCTCAAAAATAAATAGAAGTTCATTTTTAATTTGATTTTTACTGAAACAATAATGATAGTCTAGTACTGGTAATATAATTTTAATAATATCGGATTAACGTGATAAATAATTTTAATAATAGAATAAATTTCATTTTTATATAATAAATCAGACTATTTTGTAAGTCAAAAATATGACAAACAAAAATCTATTGTTGAAAAAATATATTTAAATTGTAACCAATTTAAATAATAATTGTATTAATCAACTATAATTATCATGACTCTATATGCTGAACGTCAATAAAAATTATTTATATATATATTTAAGTTAAATTTTAACTATTTATTTATTCCCAAAAAATATAATTTAGAATAAAAAGCAACTATTTTAAAGAAATACTAATAATAATTTAAAATTTAACCAAGTGTATAATTTATCAATAAAATGTTCTTAAAATTTTATAAATAATTTTATTTGTATTTCTATCTATCTATCTGTCGTTTCTCTTCATATCAATTTTTATGACAAGAAAGCTAAATAATAGTGCTGGGTACCGATAAATATAAATTTATTATTTAGATACGTGAAAAAAAAATCAATATAAAGCTTTTTTATAATTCGTAAATTTTTCGAATATTTAAATAATTACTCAATTTAAGCACTTACAGATTTTAAATAAATTAAATTAATTTAAATATAAAAATATAACATAGTTTGCAAACAATTGAAATCTGGTAAAATACAATTTTCATCCTTGAAAAAGACTAAACATTAAAATTTATATAATTGAATTTAACGTATAAAATTATTTAAAATTTATATAAAAGTATTACATCTTTATATTTTCGGATATAAATTTAAAATCAATGAAATTTATGATTTATCATCTAATTTTACTAAAATTTAACCCTATTGTTGTAATAGGCCCTACACACATAAACAATTTAGTCTTCTGTTTTCTTCTTATTCACTTCTCAACACATATAGAAATTCTTTTACAACACAATATCTTTTCACATAACATATAAAACACAATAAACACCGTCTATCTTCTAAAACACTACTCCCACGATCACGCCACAAACATCCGCTCCTTCAAAACACTTACAAAAACCCTGAACAATAACGTATCATAAAAATGTAAAACCCAATAAGAGCTGGACGATAATCATACACATCTGTGGAAGGGGATCCGTGGAATACATTAAGAATATCCCTGGGCACATAGTCCTCGTCCTGTTCCGATCCAACCGACTTACGATCACGTCGCGATCATCGTCCGGCTCTTTCGCCTTTTAAACCAATTAAAATGTATTTTTTTTAGTTTTGTTTGTTTTTCCTTTACTATTATTTTATTATGTGTTTTTAATAATAAAATAATCGAAGATATTTTTTTATACAAATTGGTTATTATAATTCATACTTTCTTTATTGTTCCACGAGTAAATTATTGTATCAATAAGGATTATATGATTAAGGTAAGAACATCCTAATTTATTGTGCATGTATTTAAGATAGCAAGTGACCCTCGAACAACACACCTCGAGAAAAGGGATAGTTCTTATTTTGCGATACTCCTATAACATTCCCTTCCATCATTATCTTTTCCCTTTCTTATTTTTGTTTTACAACACTATCATATCACGAACATGCTGACTTCATTCATTCATACTTAGTGTTTATGGACAACCGATTAAGTTGTGCATAAACTACTTAATGTAATTAATTAATTACAGAATAAAATTAATTTAAAAATTACTTCTAGTTACATATTTCTTGAATTATGAGTTATGTAATACATTTTAAATTCAACCTTTATGTCTAGTAAGGATATCAACTTTATATTTTTAAATGACTAAACATTATTTTAATTAATTGAAATGTTTTCAATTATGTAGTAAATGGCATTTAAATTTTTAACATAATTTTATTGATTTAATAGATATACAAATTTAAAGTTTCAAGTTTTTGAGTTAATATACATGTATAATAGCTAACGCGTATCCAAATAACGTTCGGTGGCGGTAAACACAATAGTTAAACACAAAACAAGGAGGTATCACTAATAAATGAGCCAAACATAGTGGTACGCACTATGGGTCGTTGCCAGTTAACTACTATAATCAACACCACAAATTAATGTATTGATATACAGAGTGATTTTTTTATCATAACCCGCTCAATTACTTACAGAATAATAATAAATTAAATAATAAATTGAACATTTTTTTTTCGATTATCTTTAGTTACACATTATTCTTAAATTATAAACCATGTAATACTTTTTAAGTTCATTCCTTATGCCTGATAAGGGTGTCAACTTTGTTTTACCTTCGATGCGAAGCTGAGAAGGTATTGGTTTTACTAAGATGTGTTTATATAAATTTTTTTTTTGTGTCTGTTTCCACTTTTTCTCAGATCACACGGAACCGATTTCTTTCAATGATACATCAAAAGATCAAAAATCGTATCTAGTCGAAGACATAATCCTCAAAAATTGAAAAAAATTCTCTCGTTCCACGTAAATGGGGGAAAACTAAAAAAAAATTACAAATTTAAAAATCGCCAATTTTTGAAATTTTTGAAATTTTTTTTTACTTAAAGTTGCTGTAACTTTTTTAAAAATAACCAAATAAATATAATTGTTTTTTATATAGATGCATGATATCATTACTTATCATTTGGTATATTTTTTTTATACTGACCCTTTACTTGCCCACGGGGGGTATTTAAAATGACAACTTTTTCACATAAAATTAACTTTTTCAACTTGACTTTTGAAAATGTTTGGGAAATGTAACACTTTTATATATATCTTAAATTAAATATAATATAATTTACTTTATCATAGAAAAAAAAAATTTCGGACTTTATTTTATATTCTCGGTGAAAATAGCTACCAAATGCTATTTTTGTGTGAAAATTCTCGATTTTATTTTTTACATTTTTAACTTTATAATGCTTTATAAAAACATCAAAGTTTATGAAAAAAATACGATTTTTGTAAAAAAATTCTTTTTTATATTTTTAACTTTATAATGCAATAACTTTTTGAAAGATGTATGGATCAATACAATTTTTTTAATGAGAAATAATATTTTTTAATAATCCCTTTTTTATTCGACATACTTTATCTTAATTAAGATATTATAAAGGAACTAGCAGATCATATAGCTTTTGGAATAATACACCAATTTTTTAAAATTAAACACTATCTAAAGATTTGCATCGAAGCGTTTTTTTTTTTGATAGTGATTTTAATCACTGTCAGATATCATTATACTTGATCCAACTATGTCACGTCAACACTCAAAAATTTGAAACTTTAAATGATTATATCTAATAAACTAATAAATTTATACTAAAAATTCGAATGCCATTTACTATTAAATTAAAAATCCAAAAAATTTTATAAAATTAAAAATATGTGTTCCCATTTAAAAAAACAAAGTTGACACCCTTACAGGGCATAAAGGTTGAACATAAAGAGTTTTAAATAGTTAATAATTCAAAAATAATGAGTAACTAAAGAAAACCAAAAAAAAAAAAATGTTCAAATTATATATATTCTGCAAGTAATTGAGTGGGTTATGTTAAAAAAATCACATGGAGCTATCCATGATCACAAGAATATATTAAAAATAACAATAAGTTACGTTAGTAAATCAGATCAAAGATTCGCTAAGGTTGATCGTCGGAACGAAAACAAAACCGTAAGGCTAACGTCACAAACGGAGCAGAACGCATTATCAGTAATACATTTTTGGAGTCGATTTTGTCACGGTACCAAGGGCGGGGGTCACCTGATAACAACCGATTGACATGTTAATAGGTGGACGACTGATATCGAGAGAAACATGGGTGTGCGCCAACCTAAAGCTTTGAGCGGTGTTGTGTCATACCCGAATGATTACGAATCAAGTAGCTAATTACTTTTTATGATCTCACCATTATAGATATAAATGTTCTATAATACTAGTTGGTGTAACTGGCAATACAGAAAGTATAACTATTGATAGACATAATTAGCAATAAGCATTCCGATAGCGACAACATTATATAGTGGCTCAAAAATTAGAAAAATTTTATATCTGATATACAAATAAAGTTTTATTAAAAATTCAAATGTCATTAAAAATCAAATTAAAAACTCAAACATTTTATTAAATTAAAAAAAAATAGCATAGAAAGATTCGCGCACAGTATGGAAGTGGCATAGTTGAGACAAGTATAGATGATATCTGATAATGATTAAAATCACTATCATAAGAAACGCTTCGATACAACACTGTAGATAGTGTTTAATTTTAAGAGATTGGTAGATTATTTCAAAAGCAACCATAACTCCTATTCCCTTAATTTTATCCCGATTTACAATTATAATATATGAATACATAATAATTATAGTAATTTAATTTAATATTGTAATTTTTACGAAAATATTATAAAAATAATAAAGTAGTTGTATATTTCTTTACTTTTAACGCGTATAAAAATTTAAAGGGCTGATGCAATGCTTTTCAATAAAAAATGTTTGTTATTTATAACAAAGTCATAAGTTCTTTACACTGAACTACAAGGAACTTTTATCAGAAACAAAAATATACTTTTCTAAATCAAATTTTTGCGATGTTTTTAAATGTGTAATTAGACTTTTTCTATCAGTTCTAAGTTTTATTATTAATAATATTATTAAAAAATAAGTTTTTACATATAAAAAAATAATTAAGAACAAAAAAAATTGTTTTAAATTAATACTGATTTTGATTATTAATATGTTAAAAATAAGGAAAATTACATATTTAACCTATTTTTTTAATCCTTTAAAGTTGATTTTTGTGATTGAAAAAAATTAATTTACTAGCATAACTTTTAGCTCAATTTGCAAATTTGAAATTGACATCATTAAATAAGAAATTAAATGAGAATTAAAAAAATCGTATTGTTAAGATTAATATGCAGTCAGGAAATTTTATAATAACTATTTATAGTAAATTTATCAGAAAAGCTCAATATTTTTTTTGCATTTTTATCGTAATAGATAACTTAAATAGAAATAATAGTAATCGTTTCCTAGTAACTTTTGGTGTTTAAAAAGATTCTACAATTGAAATATGAACTGAAAT